AAGTACCAACTTTATGGCGAACTTTTTTTTAACATCTAATTAGATGATGACATTCAATGGAGCACTTGTGTCCTCTTTAAGAAACGATGATGAGAATTTGTGGATAATAAGTGTAATGAAATTGGGGAAAATAAAAATGTACTTGGAATAAAAACAATCTTGTATGGTATTAGTTAGGGAAGATATGCAGAAGAGGGTGTGTTGTGGATCTTTATTTTGTAATGCTCGGAATACTTCGCATGAAATCGTATAAATAACCGATTTGAACACACCATTCTGGTATTTTAGGAAAATTTTCTGTCAATGTGACCGATATTCAATGGCGCAACATTTGGTGCACAATATATCTAAATCTGAACTCAACACAAATCATACTCATGGTATTTCTAAATATATTTCCTCTTGTTATTGAAGCAGATGCTTTATGAGCACAGTGTTACGTTTTATTGACAGTTTCGAAATAAATACATGATGTGATCTTATATTTGGTTTCCTTTTCACATTTCAAATTAAAAACACAGGACAGCGATGTCGGAATCTATAAGTCACAGTCGGTCAATTTAGCTGAAGCCGAAGTCGAAAAAATAACTTACTTGCATCCGAAAAAGAAAATGTTGATATTTCTTAATGATTTTTAATCCATAGTATTTTGTCACAGCATATATATCGATGGTATTTACCAAGAGGATGGGATACTTATTTGGATGGATAGTTTAAAATGAATAGTTTTATACCACTTTAAAAACGTGGGTAAATATTTGGATAAATAATCGAGTATTTACCCAAATATTGTGTAACTTATTTAACTGCCAAACCACTTGACTGCCACGGCTTACATGTTTATACCCTTCACCACACTGTGGTACAGGGTATTATGTCTTTGTGCATATGTTTGTACCAGGCAAAAGGAAATGAGATAGACACATGGTTCCTTTTGAGAATATGCATAAAAGCACTTTCTAAGTCGATTTATGCATGTCCGTCCGTCCGTCTGTCTGTCCATGTTAAATTGTGAACAAAGTACAGGTCGCATATACTATTCGAATTGGATGAAAATTGGCACAGCTCATTCATTTGGCCCAAGGACGAACCCAATTGAAATTGGGAAAATCGGTTCAGATTTAGATATAGCTCAAATATATATTTTCGTCCGATTTAAGGTAAATGGTGCACCAAAGTCCCTATATATCATTCGATTTGATATATATAGCTTCGCCCGATTTTAGGTAAATAGTCCACTAAAGTCCCTGGAAATCTTTTGATTTGCACGAAATTTGGCACAGAGTAATGAATAAGATCGAGAATGATGTCTGTCAAGTTTCGTGAAAAGCGGTTCAGATTTAGATATAACTCCCATATATATTTTCGCTTGATTTAAGGTAATTGGTGCACCAAAGACCCTATATATCTTTCGATTTGCACGAAATTTGGCATAGAATACTGAATTATGTCTATAATAATGTGTGCTAAGTTTCATGAAAATCGGTTCAGATTTAGATATAGCTTCTATATATAGTTTCACCCGATTTTAAGTAATTGGTGCCTCGAAGCCTTGGGAATCTTTTCATTTGCACCAATTTTGGCATAGCGTACTGAATTAACGCTAGAATGACGTGTGCTAAGTTTCGTGAAAATCCGTTCAGAGTTAGATATAGCTTCCATATATGTTTTCGTTCGATTTCATGTAGCCAAAGTCCTTATATATCTTTCGATTTGCATTTCGATTCAATTTTGGAATAGAGTACTGAATTAAGTCTTGAATGATGTTGCTAAGCTTCGTGAAAAGATCTGATGTAATATAAATTAGTCTCTGGCAAGTTTCCCTGAAATCGGTTCAGATATAGATATATAACAAAAAAGCGTCGTCTGTTAGGATACATATTTAGAATATACCTACAGTCGGCCCAGTCCGACTTTACTACTTTACTTACTGGTTTTTTTATATCAAAACGAATACTGGTAGGAAAATGGGGTCTCTGAGTCCATGCTTTGATACACCCCCATATAACAGTACTTCCCGATTTAAGGTAATTGTTAACTAAAAACTACATTTTACAATCAACCTGGACGTAATTATCGACGTAGGTCTACGTTTTCTGCTAGCCTCCATATAAAGGTACCCCTATTTTGAGTAGTTACCCAAATATTGGGTATAAACACATTAATTGGCGAACCACTTGGCACAGGCTGCCAAAATTTGTTTCACATATTTTATATATCAATATAAATATTGGTATGGACAATTTAGTCTCTGGGCCATGTTTTGTATTAGCTCCCGATTTAAGGTAATTTTTACAATCAAATGAACCATAATTTAGGATAGTGAGTTGAAATTTTGTACAAAATATTCATGCAAAAAAGGATCTGCGTAGGTCCACGTTTTCTTGTAGACCCTATATAATGGTCCCAGATTACGGGTATTAATCAAAAGGTTGGGCCAAAGCTATTTATTTCATTTACATTCTATTGTGGGTTAGTTTATATTTCATAGAGAAGTCGGAGGTGTCTATGACCAGGAAACGACTTGGATATTTCACCTACTTTAAATCAATCACATGCTCTGCAGTTATCTAACATACCGGGATATCCAATTCGTGATTTCAAAAGTATCGACATCTGAAATTTTAGTACAATAACGTGCTGTACAATGAGAACCCCAACAGTTATCGAATTACAATTCAAGTTAAAGCGATGTTAAGTTCGGCTCGGCCAAAGGCAAAATACCCGAATATGGGGGCTACCGTGAAATGTGGGTTAATATTAATAGATTTTAGTACGGAGATGTGCTATACAATACCAAATTATAGCCAATTCTGTTGAAACATATATATATATATATATATATACTTCATGGGGTCTCCGGTGAATATTTCGAGGTGTTGAAAACGTAATGACAAATTTAATATACTCTCTAATATACTTTGGGAGTTTTGTCGCATTTGTCGACCGAATTGGCTGTAATTTAGTATTTTCATTACTTTTTCCGATAGCTCACATATAAGGATAAACCCAATTTCCTGTATTTTGGGGTTCTTGAGTGCGTTATTGGACCAATTTCGCTGTAATTTGGTATTTTTGTAGTCTATTATTACCGATTTTGAACACTTTCAGTGAATACACATAAAAAATATAAACATATTTGTGACTCAATATTTGAAATTACAGCGAAATCGTTCGAAAATATTCCGTTTAAAGATAAAGGGGTTCCACTATAACTCTTGTAAAAAATGATTTGTTGCAGTCTACACATAAAATAATTATACCCTTCACCACACTGTGGTACAGGGTATTATGTCTTTGTGCATATGTTTGTAACAGGCAAAAGGAAACGAGATAGACACATGGTTCCTTTTGAGAGTATGCATAGAATCACTTTTTAAGTCGATTGATGCATGTCCGTCTGTCTGTCCATGTTAAATTGTAAACAAAGTACAGGTCGCATTTATGATCCGAATTGGATGAAGTTTGGCATAGGTCACTTGTTTGGCCCAAGGACGAACCCTATTGAAATTGGGAAAAATCGGTTCAGATTTAGATATAGCTCCCATATATATATTTAACCGGTTTAATGTAAACGGTCCCTATATCTCTTTCGATTTGCACGAAAATTGGTACAGCCTAATCATTTAGGTCTAGAATGATGTCTGCAAAGTTTCGTGAAAATCGGTCCAGATTTAGATATAGCTCCCATATATTGTTTCGTCCGATTTCATGTAAATGGTGCACCAAAGTCCCTATATATCCTTCGATTTGCACGAAATTTGGCAGAGCATAACGTACTGAATTGAGGCTAGATTCATGTCTGCAAAGTTTCGAGAAAATCGGTCCAGATTTAGATATAGCTCCCATATATAGTTTCGTCCGATTTAAGGTAAATGGTGCACCAAAGTCTCTAAATATCTTTTGATTTGCACGAAATTTGGCACAGCGTACTGAATTAAGCCTAGAATGATGTGTGCTAAGTTTCGTGAAAATCGGTTCAGATTAAGATACAGATCTTATATATAGTTTCGTGCAATTTTATGTAAATGGTGCACAAAAGTCTCTATATATCTTTTGATTTACACTAAATTTTTCACAGTGTACTGAATTGAGTCTTGAATGACGTGTGTTAAGTTTCGAGTGAACCGGTTCAGATTTAAATATAGCTCTATATATAGCTTCATCCGATTTTATGAAAATGGTCCACTAAAGTCCTTATATATCTTTCGGTTTGCACGAAATTTGGCACAGCGTTATGAATTAGGTGGTTTGTGTTTCCTGAAATCGTTGAAATTGGTTCAGATTTAGATATAGCTTCTATTTAGTATAGGTTGCAGAATGACATGTTTATGGATCCAATTTTATTTTAGTGGTCCATTAAAAATGTGACGTCGGTTAAGATTCATTAGTTGAATATACCCAAAGTGGTGAAGGGTATCATATAGTCGGCCCCGTCCGACTTTACTGCTGTCCTTACAGGTCTTATATTTTAGATAGGTGAAAATCCCTCTGTTTCTTGAAAATGTATAAATACAATTCCTTATACATCAATTAGTTTAATTATATATACAGAAATGGCAAACTGTTTAGAATAATAAAAAAATGTTACACAATTTTTGTTGCAAGTTTGGCTTGCAGTTTTTTTTTAAATTTATTTATTCAAAATTAATTTCTTTACAAATAATAATAAAAATCAATTCGACTTAAGGTTGGTGACTTTGAGGAGGGGAACAAAACAATTCAAATCATTTTTTTTTAATTTAATTTCATTTAGCAAAGAAAAATAACAAAAATTATTATTGACGTACGAATATGAGTGTAGGTTATGTCTTCTAAACTTAAGGTTTCTTAAAGAAAATGTAAAAAAGGGACATTTTTTTCTTCTTAAGAAATAACAAGTAAAGACGATGTACGACGATATAATTCATTAATTAAAAACGTAGTTCATTGTTTAACAAAAAATATATTTTTTGTAGACAGGCATATCACGATTCGATGGAAGAATCGTTGTATTGCGTTGAGAGATTAAAACACTTGGACACGATGATTTTCACGATCGCATACCAAAATATTACCATTCGACATGATGGCGACACCTTCAAGACCTTTAAACTCTGAATCACCAGAACCCCAGGAACCGAAAGTTTTCAAGAAACTGCCATCAGGATTGAAAATCTGTATGCGATTATTGCCAGAATCGGCGACAAAGATGTATCCCTGATCATCCACAGCAACACCTCTGTAAAATATTGAGAATTTCAGATTATTACATATTGAAGAGTAAATCTTAATTTATGCAAGTAATTACCTGGGAAATTTGAATTGTCCATCTTCGGATCCCTCACCACCAAATGTCGATAAAACTTTGCCATTGACATCGAAAATCTGAAAGAAAGAAGAAATATTATTGAAGAAAAAAGTTATGAGGATGCCTGCGTTTGGAAAATAGATTTACCTGAATTCTGTGGTTATTTGAATCTGATACTATGACACGATTCGTGTTAGATACAGCGATGTAATGCGGATGTTCAAGTTGTCCTTCGCCACGGCCGCATGTGCCAAATTTACCAACGAAAGAACCATCGGATTGGAAAACCTGTTGTAAAAAATTAATATCGTTAATTGGCGGGTTATTTTGTAAAATTAAAAATGTATATCCGATTTCTTTACAAATATTCTATTGAGCCTTCACAAACAAAACCAGCAAAAAGTTTTCATTGTAGGTCATTGCTTTGATACCAATTGTAGATATTTTTATTCCCTACACTACTATGTTGTCAGGTTATTATAGCCTTGTGACGCAAGAGTGTTTGTAACGCCACGAAATATTGGTCCTATACCCACTTTTAAGTATGCCGATCATATCTCGACTAGTCTGTCTGTCCATTATAATTTGTAAACACGATGCAGGCCATAGTTATGGACCAATCGTCATGAAATTTTGCATGGATGACGGGTTCAAACCAAAGATGACAGCTATTATTTTTGGTCATGATCAGTTAATATTTAGGAAATGAAATGGACAAACTTTTTTTTTTTTGCTTTTCTGGTTGCTGTAAAGACCACAATTAAGACCCGAACACCGCGAAATTTTACAGCAGAAAGGAAATCTGGCCAAAGAAAAACATATTTAGCAAATGGACCCAGACTTTTGTCTGAAAAATTATAAAACTTGTATTCTGTGGCGTATATATTTATTGAAGGACATAGACCCAATAACTTGGTAGTATAACCAAAAGAAGTGGTTGACCTTTAAATATATACCAATTTTATTGTTTTATGTACTCGGATGTGTTATTATATTGTTAAGTATTACTATTACCCCACTAGAGAGCGGAAATGCCGCGCTTCGAAATTTTACATGAAGTTCCGTTTATCGTCAAGGACAACGCTTATAATTTTCGGTAATGTTGAGATGATACTTATGGGTTGCAATGAACCATAAACTTTATTTTTGTCAGATTTTCTAGTCGTTCTGGAGGCCATTATTATATGCTGAACATCACATATTTTACACGGTGAAGGGAATCTGGCCAAATACTTAGAACGGCTGTTTGGACAATGATTGGTCAACATTCAGAGAAAGTGGAGCTGTTGACCTATAATCGGTTAACAGGGTGCAAATATAGCAAATTATTGCCCAGGCTCAGAATATAGAACCGCCGAAAGTTCCATTTTCGTGGTAGTTGTTTAATATGGTAGGCCACGTCCGACTATTCTGCTCCGCTCACTGGTTTCATCATGTTTCTTTTTTTGAAGTGTATTAAAATGTTTGTCTGGTTAGACCCTATCTATTAAATTAATGCATTATGACTATAATAATTAACATTTACGATGAAAACTTCTAAAGGAACACATCAATATGCCTGGCAGAGTATTTTCATGTAGATCCAATCATCATTTTCATGTCTTCATAATTGCCTGACAAAAGATATGCCCAACATTTACACTACCGACAAATACGATCCAATATCCCATGTCTTGATTAATTGCAAATATTTGCATAAGCACTGATGCTGACAGGCTAACCATTTTCTCAATAATGTCCCTGTCGGCAATCTGCTGCCATTCTAAGAATTGTCTCCATGTCTATGTTCTCCCCCACCCATATTTGAATGGACAAATTACAATTTGCGGATTACGAAGCAAATTGCAGTTTCGTATCAACATTTAATGCACTGCAACGAGCGGAAGAGTTAGGGGGTCGTGTAAGAGGTCGGCTTGGTCGGCATTGTCTTGCTATTTGCATATAATTTAAAATTGTTAAGTCTTTTCTTACCTGTACACGGTGGTTTTCTTTGTCACAGACGTAGATAAAGCCCAGAGCATCGGTGGTCACACCCCATGGATAATTGAATTTGCCATCTGCGGTACCCTGTGAGCCAAATGCCCTCAAGAAACGTCCTTGTGGATCTAACACTTGTATACGATGATTATATCTGAAAGAGTGAAAGCGAGAGGGAACAAGGTATGTAAGTAAATGAAATGCCGAGTTAGTAGGACAATAACAAGCACCAAACAATTAATTCAATAATCATTTAAAGTCTTAATATAACGCAGGGACATTGATATCTATTCTGTGCAAATTTGTATTCAACTGCAATAATGTCATTAACTGTATAGGTGAACCATTAAGGATATTCCAAATAAGGATTGTTCTTTGATTTATGACAGCGCTACAATAATGTTCATATAGGCCAATAATAATAAAATAGTACGAGTAAGACCCATCCCAGAAAGGAATATACAAACTTAGCAAATATGGGATTTAAGAAACAAGCATTTGTATAAAGGCACATTTTTTTTCAATACCCTCCAAAATAAGTGGGACTGTATATTTACTTTGTCATTCCGTTTGCAACACCTCCAAATATTCACCGGAGACCCTACAAGGTATTGTTAATTTAATCCGTCCGCCTGTCTGTCTGTTCACGATAGAGATCGGAATATTTATGATAGAGCTGTGAAATTTGCTAGTACTCCTAGGATATTTGTATTTGTATCGGTACGACAAATTATTAGTATTGATCAAGTTCAATGGGTGGCTAGGGAATTTGGACACGTTGTGGCTGCTAATTGGTATTATGGGTTCTCATTGAATAACACATATCCCTACCAAAAATTAGTAGTTCTCATTGTTTATCACATTTCCATACTAAAAATTTTTTGTATTGACCCACGTTTAGACCCAATTTTGTTGGGGCCACATCTCCGCACTAAACATTATTAATATTGACCCATGTCGGTATTTTGAGAACTTTGAACACGTCGATCAGTCTCAATGGCTGTCAAATCGCACAACCAAAAATTTTAAATATTGATCACCGTTTTATTATAGCCTCATATCATAACTCCTAAGAGCATCCATTAATTTTAGATATTTTGATGGTCATCCTCATGGTGGATGAGGGTATACCATTTTTACTTGTTAACCCTTTAACCAGCCAACATCCACTAACGAGCTAATTTTGGTTAACATTTTGGGGACAGCGATGTTCGAGCAAGTTGCCATATTCTACTCAATTTTACATACAAATTTTAAAAGTTTTTTTTTTTAATCTAAATATATACACATGTTTTGAAATCTGTATGTAAAATGTATTGATTTTTGATTCACATATTTTATATGACCTGTTATTTTTACCCATCTCATACATACATATATCAAACGATTGAACCCTAATCCTCAGATTACATTCTGGTGATTAATTTTCTTGATATTGAAAGTGAATGTAAGGGAAGCGGAATGAAATAGAGGGGTGCAAAAACGAAATCAATTCCGACACATTGCCCTTCACACATCGATGGCCGTGAATTAAATAAGAAAAATCCTTTTTGTGCTACTGAATAAAGTTGTAATTAAATTTCGCATTAACATCGGCCATTATCCGCTTAGTATTTCCAATTACAAGAACTAAGAAATACGATACGTACATACACATATACCTACACTGTATCATTATAAAGATACATAGTGCTCTAAGTCCCTACATTGCCTTAATCGGAGAGAAAATTACAATGTAGGGGAAAACATCTCTGGGGGGGAGCGTTACCACCTTTTGTTCAAATATAATTAAGATGAGAGAGAAAAAAACTCTTCTAATCCCTCAACTTAATACCACCCACAAGCTCAATGTTGTCAATGGCCAGGAGTTTTGGACATTATTACTGTATAAATTACAAAGACTTCAATCAATTCGATTAACAAACTTAAATGAACATCATTAATGTGCAAATGAAGTGGCTTAACACTAGCAGTGGATGGGATGTTTGACAACTTACCTATCTGCTATTATATATTGTCCGATACGATTGACCGCAACACCGGCCAAACAATCGAACTCGCCTTCACCATTGCCGTATTCGCCAAATTGTTTAACGAAAATGCCATTCGAATCGAACACTTGAACGCGATGATTCGATGAATCGGCTACGACAATGCTATTGTCCGGGCCGACGGCTAGGCCGCGCGGCCAGGTGAAAGAACCGGGTTCGCTCCCCCGGCCCCCCAATTGGAACAGCTGTTGACGCTTGCGCAGGTACAATTGCTTAGGGGAAGTACCTGCCACTCCGGCCATACCGTGAGCTGCTGCTGCTACCATAGGGGAGGTAGGGGAGCCTAGCCCGTTTTTTGAAGCATCATCATCGGATGATCCAAGTTCATTGACCTGCCTCAGAGGCAGACCCAGGCTAAGGCGACGTGATACATCGCTGGCAACGTGGCTACGACTACTGCCGCTAGCACCGTGCGATGACGATGGTAGGGCCGAAGATGTGCTACTGCTGCCAAGAGTATCACGGCTACTGGTCGATGGTGTGTCCTTTGAGCTTTTACTGCCGTATTTGTTCTTCAAATAGCGTGCCCAAGAACTTAAGGCTTCGCCATCCTTGCTATCGGCAGCCGATGATGAAGATGCTCCGGCTCCGCTGCGTGATGATGTACGATCCATAATTGGTGAGCTGTCACGCGATTTTAAGGCGTGCGATGAACGGCTACGTGATAGATCGGAACCACCATAGCCGCTATATCTGTTAAATGAAAATAAATGGAGATACATATATTAGAAAATTATTTATAAATGTTGTTGTTATAATCATAATGTGCTAAAGTATATTTTCTTATGGGAAAAATTGATTGGATTTATTATTTATATATCAGAAACAGTGATGTAAATGAGATCCATTTTAGACGTAAAACTTCACAATCATTTTCAAACCCATTAGGATTCTGTCAGCTATAGAGGAATTAGTATGCGACTTCAGAACTGGCAAATCCACCATAGACCATATTTTCACATTCCGCCAAATCCTGGAAAAGACCCAAGAAAAACACATCGACACACTCCACACATTCGTCGACTATAAAGCCGCATTCGACAGCTCAAACCGATCAAAGGTGTTTAAAGCCATATCTGCCCTTCAATGCCGAACGAGAATTCAGACAAGGTTTGTCGTGTGATATGAACAGAAATGGCCAAACAACATATGTTACTCGCCGACGACATCGACATAATGGGTCGAACATTGCGAGCGGGTACATCCACTTTTGAACGAATAGAGAAGGAGTCTACCAAAGTGAGAATTACAGTAAATGGCGAGAAGAACAAGCTGATGGTATCAACGCGCAGCACATCCAGTAGACTCGGAAACTTTAAAACTACAGATTCGAGGTAATGAACGGTTTTATATACCGCGGAACCGCCATAAATAAAACTAATAACATCAGCTTTGAAATCCGGAGAAGAATAGTGTTGACCAACAAATGCTACTATGGTCTGTGTAAGCAATTCAAAAAACAAGGCCATCTCTCGCCAGACCAAACTCACACTCTCCAAGTTTGAGACAAAGATTCACCTAATCATGACCGGTACCATTTATTCTCCGACATCGACATATCAAGCTGAAGCGGCTACGGTAGCTAGACATGTTGTGAGAATGGACGAGGATGCCCCAGCGTACGACCATGTGTTGTGTTGTTTGCATTGATAAAATTAATTTTTTGTATGACGATGATGTATAATAAAGTTTATCAATAATTCGGTCCCAATTACAAAATAACAAAATTTCTTTATAAAATGTTGACCTCATGAATGAATTATTTTTTGGAATATCTTGAAGGTTATTAATTCAGATCTCTAGTTCTTCAAGAGGTTCAATATCCTCCGATTAAAACATTTATACATATTGGAATTATAATTCTAAATATATTATCTTGAGATATCTATCATAATAAATCCAATCAATTTTGTGATTTTTTTAATATAATATTTAAAAATATATTTTTTATAAAATACTTTTAAATGTAATTTTGGAGTTAATAATTTGGGCCATAAATGACTGGAACTGGAAACTTAAAAAATAATTATATTTTAAATGGACTTACAAGACGTATACCAAAAATAAATTATTATTGTTAAAAAAGAATAAGAGGGGGAAATATCCAACAAATACGCGAATATACAGGACGTAAACGATGAACTTAGTAAAAAAATGTGAAAATTTGTATTTGATTTGTTGTTGGTTTAGAAATGGAAAAAAAATAAAACAGAAAACGCATGAGAGATGTGAAAAGAAAACTTAAAACGAATGAAGTGATGATATGAAAGAATAAAAAAATCACAAATAAAAATATTTAAAGAAAAAATATATAGATTTCGTTTTGTTAGATTTGATAAGGAAAGCGTTTCTGTGTGTGAGCCAAGGTGGTGTAACAAAAATAATCCAAATAGCCACATTACAACATCAATGATATTTTGAAAACTTGGAATCGAATTCATATAAATTTTTTTAATGAAATATTTACAGCAAATGATTGCAATGTGAAATAATTTTGTTTTTCGATGTCATTTCGTAATTTTTTTATTTTTATAAAATTTAGAATTTGGAATTTTGACGCTTTTCGTGGTTGAATTTTTTCGTTTTAAATTGAAAACGCTTTTATTTTGAATTAAAAAAAATTGAGCGCTATATAAATATGAACTATATAAAAGAAGGTTTGAAATAAGATAAAATTATAATATTAAAGTTTATTTTAATAATTATTAATTGAAATGTGTTAGACTCGCACCTTGAAGCTAAATAAGCAGATGGTGATGCCGTGGTTGGCGACACAGGCTCATCCAAATCATCATCGTCGTTGCCAAACTGATGGGAAGAGCGACTGCGTGCCAAACGATTGCGACGCTCCTTCATCGCTAAATAACGTGAACGTCCGGTGCCATAACGTGAATCCGAATCATCGCCGGTGCCATTGGCATCCTCATCGAATGAGGCATTGGGCGTGGATAGGGATGGCTGTGATACAATGGCGCTGCTCTTGCTTTTATTTAGAAAGCGGCTTGTGTAGCTGGAAAAGTTATATCAGTTCGGAATTGTAGGTTGATTTACAGTTGAATTTCAAATTCATTAATTTCATCATCTTTATTGTGCTTTGCTTTTTATTTTTGTACAATTTGCTGTATTAGGTTTTCAAATTTATTGTTTCTTGTATTCTATGCATTTGCTTTTTTGGCTTCTTTTTTTGTGCAGTTATTTTTTTTTTTGGCTTTTGCTTTAGTTTTTTTTTTCGTTTGCTCTTAAATCAATCAATCCATAAATCAAAGCATTATCAGCAATTGTTTGTCAGATTGTCATTGTTGTTGGTATTTTATTTGATTAATTTTGACGTTCAAAGATTTATTTGTATTTTTGCGATTCAAATTTTTTATGGTAATTTTTTAAGGGACAACGAATGGTGGCGTTCGAACGTTCGCTTTCGTTCTTATTCTTTAGTATTAGATACAATAAGCATTCGAATGCGATTAGTGTAGACGACTTCTGTGTTGGTGATGTATCTGTGTATATAGATATGAATGTGTGCGTGTCATCTTATAATAATATTAAAGGAATTATTTTCTCTTGAGAATATATATTTTTGTATCGAAGTAAATATAATCTCTTGCAGAACAAAGAAACAAATACTGGACATTGGACTTTTAATGCTTCCTAATGCATTCAATTAAATGTCAACACATTTCTTGTTAATACTCCCTCGAGTATCGAAATACTGGAAGTATAATAAACTGTTTTATTATCCGTTTTGTATATTTGAACAAATGCAACTGAATTGCTCTCATTGTTACTGATATATTGTTTTGTAAAAGAACAAAGCAGAGACTCGTCTATACCAAAAACTGCAAATATGAATAAAAACTATGAGATAATGTTAATCTAATGTGGGAGTTCCAATAAATTCCGGGTATTTTCCAAAAGTCAAAAAATTGCAACCAAATCCAGGGAAAAGTTGATCAAATTTTCTATGTATGAAAAAAAATCCCAAACAAGTGGATTTATATTAAAACTGTTGAAAAACTCAAATTGCAGAATAGCAGCCTATTTTGGTGCAAAACTTCCTTACGACGTACAACCCATCTTTAATCGGGTATACCACCCGTATGTATGAAATCATCATCAGCGACATCTATGAACAGTTTGAGAACAATTTACTCCCAGTTCTATAAAACTAATTAAACCAGATTCTTCAAATAACACACTCCACATAAGGTGAAAATGTTCTATACTATTTTACGAGGGTTATTATATATACTTCTGTTCTAGGCAACATTAAGTGTAAAGTAAATGGGTGGGATATTTATATAGGGCATATTTCATATAAGATATATTGTAAACTACTGACAACCAGAAATATGAAATTACTCTCAACCAGTAAGGAAAGCAGCAAAGTCGGACTGGGCCGACTATATGATACCCTTCACCACTTTAGGTATCTTCTACATATGTATCCTAAGAATTTCATGTCAATGTTCCCTCGAAGGAACAATTTTAACAAAACGCAATAACGTAATTCTGGTCTCAACGCTATGCCAAATTTCGTGCAATTCGAAGGATGTATAGGACCAAAATAAATATGGGAGCTATATCTAAATCTAAACCGATTTTTCCCAATTTCAATAGGGTTCGTTATTGGGCCGAATAAGTGATCTATGCCAAATTTCATCCAATTCGGATCATAAATGCGACCTGTACTTTGTTTACAATTTAACATGGACAGACCGACGGACGGACGGAAAACACAAATTAAATAGAATCCAGTTGAAAAACGCCCTCAAGAACCGTAAAATACCGAAAATAGCGGGGTACTCTTATATGGGGGCTATGTCTAAAGGAGGACCGATATAGCCCATCTTCGAACTTGACCTGCTTGCAGACAAGAGACGATTCTAAGCAAAATTTTGGCGGTCAATTCGTTAAGACGATAGAGAAATTACAACAGACGGACGTACATGAATAAATAAATATTTATTTATTTATAGGGTCGTATATGAATATTTCGATGAGTTGCGTTGATCATGTTCTGTAGACATGTGGTCACTGATTACAAAAGTGAGGTCAGATATAAAATAAATGGCCAAACAAACATAAAAAATTTAAACTTAAAAAATTGTACATGAAGTTCCGGTTGGGGTATAGGACGACGCCTATACGCGTTAAAAAAAATAGTGTAAAGCTCAAAGTCCCTAGATTGGAAATATTTAAATTGCTTTTCTTTCTAACTGAACTTGATTTTTTATCAAAAAATTAAATCCTTGCATTGCTTTAAAAAATAAATAAAACTATTTCGAAAAGTTAGAGCAAGTGTACAATTATAACAACTCAAGAAACCGGTTTATATTCTTATTTTCTAGTCCGATGTCAAATATTTAAAAAAAGTAAATATTATTTAGTAAAATTTTGATTATTTGATCATATCATACATTATTCCCATACAAAGCGTTAAATTTCAGCAATATCTTCTTTGTGTTTTTTCTAACATCTGTTGGTGTATTTTAAGATTAAGTAAATTGTAAATTATTTACAGATGGAGATGAGTTTATGAATTTGTTTTCACATTGTTTGTAGTTATGTATATATGTTGATATTTGTTAAAAATAATAAACAACAATTCATGCATTACAAAAATATTGAAAGAAATACAGTGAATAAAATATCGCAGCAAATGAAAGACAAACAGACAAAACACTCAACAATAAATATTAGCAGAGATATTTTTCGATTACTATCATTCAATAAACTGTGGCTTTATGACCTGTCCTGATTTCTTCGACATTTATTTATGCTGTCAATATTTGGTTTCTTTTTATTTTTTGGTATCCATGGCGAGAAAGTGTCCATCCCCAGTATCGGATTTTGTTGTTGTTGCTGCTGTTATTGTTTGCTTATTGGCCATAACGAATGTAAATATTTCCTTTTTTTATTATCTTCCTCTATTATCTTTATGCATTTTAAATTCGCTATTAAATATCAAAGTAAAGCAAAATAAAGGAAGAAATAATCTACAATTATCTTTATCCTCTGTTAAGGGAACAGAATTTAAGCTTGTGCTCCGTCGCATCATCCAGGAATAGTCACACAAATATACATACAACATACCCGACATACATACTATTAACCTATGAACAAAGAACTTGTTATTATCTTTTTATTTTATTTTTTTTTTCGGAATAAAGTCAACAAGTTTGGGCCTTAGCAGCCAAGTTCTTTTATTTAAAGAGATTAAAAATTAAGCTGCTTACCAAGTAGCGAAACTTAACTTTTCATTCCTGGCTGGCACAAACTTTAAGTGGATTGGTTGGTAACTTGAAATTGGTGTTAAATTACTGGCATAATAAATATGGAATCTTGGTGAAGAGTATTCTCAAAATGTGTGAATAATAGTTTGGTCCACCAGTTAAGCACATTCTAACAATTTGTGTGTACAATGGGCACTCACACATATTCACACTAACACACAACGTGAACTTGTGTTGATTTTGTCTTCTACTAATTTTATTAAATAGTTTCAATTTTCTTCGTCTTTTTATACTTCTTACTATGCCTTGTGGTGAATAAACATTCAAGAGATTGTTATTTGTTTATGAAATTGAATTGAATTAAGAGAACATTTCCCTCACAATTAAAAGTGAGAAGAATAAATGTTGAACTTTTGTTGTCGTTTTTGTTTTTTGCTTCTTCGCTACGCTTTGAGTTAAACATAGTTGCCTTAGTTGTCTTTACAATTCAATGTGATAGATGGTGGTAAGAAGTATTTTATTGGTTCTTCTTTTGAGTCATTCCAGTAATTTTGTAATCAAACAAGATGAAAATATGCAGCAAAATTCCGTGCAATACACTTATAAGGGAATTTGAAGTTTCAACTGCATATTCAAACGGAATATTTTTAATATAGATCCCATATAAGAGTCATACCTCAGTTTTTGTACATTCCAAGTAGCTATAATTTGGTATATCGACTTCAGAGCCCCGACCGACTGTCTACTGAAATCACGATATGCCTCTAATATCTAAGAAGAGCTTGGCCGAAAAAATTGTAACGCAGCGCAATATTGATCTTAGCCCAACTTTTACTACAGCGATCGTCATATCTCGACTATCTGAATCGATCTAGTCATGCATGTCCGCATGTAGACCAAAACCTTTATTTTTGTCTGTTTTTCTGCAGAGATCTACATATTTTGATTACCATTAACACAGTAGAGGGCATATATTTCACCCTGATCGATTTGAAATTTTACACGAAGTTCCAACGTCTATAATTTCCGGATATGATCACTTGAAATTTAGGGGATGGATTAGACCAAAAAACAATTTGTGTGTGTTTTTCAAGCCGCTCTATACGCCACAAAAATAATCTGAACATTACAACACATCACATGGGTAAGGGAATCTGTCCATATAATTAGAAGGGCTGTTTTTATTCAATATTCGGGTGCCAAATAAACAAAGACCTATCTATGTAACATGACAACATTTTCATCTTATGTCGTAAATATTCACCCCGGGAAAAAACATTTCGGAAATATGCCAGGATAAGATATATGTACATACAGTGAGTGTAATAAGTATTTTGCCTCAATACAAATTTGACAAAATTCCAATATATACGTCTAAAGCCAGCATACTAAAGACGTACAATGAATTATGTGTGATGGAATATGTTTGTGGACATATTTAGATCGTATTTCTGCAAGAATCATTGCGATAGACCTATTTGTCTCGAAGATATCGGCCGAAATCTATAACAACCCAAAAATGTTTATCACAAAAAAGTATTTTGCTTTTTATTATTATTTTAGAAAAAATATTACATAAAACACGTTTGGTCTTTTTATAGTTACAATTGCGGTTAACCACATACTATAAGCGATTTGTCGACGATTCCAATACATCACGGCATTTTTTCGTGGGTATTTTCGCACATTTACATTCAATACATTCTCCATCAGTATTTCATTTAATATTTGGTATTTTCTCGTCCTAATCTTAAGATAAGAGTATTAAACATAGTCA